GGGGAGGGGGTCGAGGGTAGGGGTGGGGTGGGATGAAAAATAAAAAATTTAAATTGGAAATATTTTTTTAAAAAAAATTATTTTTTTTGTGGGGGGGAGGGGTAGGGGGTGAGGTAAAAAAATTTAAAATTGAAGGCTTTAAATTTATTTTTTTCAACAAAAAAATAATAATTGTAATTTGAAGTTGGAGAGAGTTTTGGAAAACGTTTTTCTTAATTTTTTGAAAGTAAGTCATTTTCCTTAAATTTGAGAAAAATGAGTTAATTTGAAAATCATTCTCCAAAACGTTTTACCCAACCAAATATGATAAAATTGAAATACATTTTCCGAAAATGTTTTCCTTCATACCAAACACACCCAATATGATGAATCAATGATGGATTATGGTGAAATTTACTTTTTTCATAGAAAAATATCAAAGAATTATACTATTCATGTTTGATAAAATATCCTTCAATAAGACCTGGTGAATATCATATGTCTCTGTTTCGATGCATCTTATAAATCCTATTGAAATTCTGTGAGGTTGCTCGTGTCCTTTGGTTGGTGGGCTTAATTTTTTGAACTGTGAATGCATCTTAACATAATTTTGATTTTTGATGGGTTCTCCAAATCTAACAATTTTATTTGGGATCCCTTTTTTTAGGGGGAAAGTCTCAAATGGGAAATAAAGTTGGCACTTTGAAGATTTTGAAGCTAGAATTTGTGAGCTCTCTCTTTGTCTACACAAATTTCAAACGGCCTGTTATAGCTTCAAGGTAATCGTCTTCGGAAATTTGAATTCTTTTGGTTCTTATTTTAATCTTGCACAAAAGTGTAACATTTACCCTTTGTTTGGATCATTGTTACCCATTATATTGTATCGTTACTATACCTACAATGTTTGTTTTGATTATTACTTAAAATATATTGTATTGTATTGTTAAATTTCGTTGTTACGTAACAATGAAAACCTCTATTTTATGGAACAACCAATTTGGTGTGTTCCCAATTGTTACTTAATTTCTTTTTCCAATTATATCTTTTACATAATATTTCAAAATACTATTTTATCCTTTACCTTATATTATTTAATTCTAATCAAACCTCCTACTCTACATATATACAAATGGCTTACATATACCATTTTCCTCTAACAGAGATGAAAAAAATTAATTTTAGTTTAATTTTTTTTAAAAAAAAAAAAACTATAATCCCATATGAGTATATTTAATCCTCCTCAAACATATATTTTTTTTGTTTCAATGACTAATTTAAATTTATTATTTTAATGGTCAAATTTATTTATGTTTCACTAATATTCTTGTAAAACTTATTATTGTTTACATCTCCGCTTTATTCAAATAGGGCGAAACGTCCTGATGACTCAAAAAATAAACAATTGATTCAATTTTAAATTTTTTTTAAGAAAATAAGAATTTTAAAGGAGTCACCACCTAATTTTAGGAAACCAATTAAATGATCTACGAAACCAAGAAATTTTAGGTAAGGGGTTCAAGTTAATTCGAAGGAAAAGTGTTAGGCATCATTCGAAATTCACAATTGTGAGTTCCGACCGAATTCATTTTTTCAAATTGAGGAGGAAGTAAAAATAGTATACAAATATAACAAACATACAATATACACAAGTAATATGAGAAACGACCTAATATTTGCCTATCATCAATAATATACATAATAATGATTATAATATTCGAACTTTATTCGAATGGCTTCGATGAGAAACGACTTCGGGGTACCTATAAAGACACTTAATAAAAGTGTTAATACTAAATATATATGAATAAAAATAAATAAAGCAAATAATAACTTAAAAATAAAAACTCATCTTATTAACATAGGAGGCCTTAGAAATAGACTGTAATTTCTTCATCGGCCAATTTTAACAAATAAAATATACAAACTTAAATTAAATTTTCGTCTTTTGCAATGTAGAGGCCTCCAAAACCGACGGAAATTTTTTTTCATTAGGCAAATTATAGCATTTACTTAACATGAATTAAGGAAATAATCCTATAGTAAAATTGACAAAACCCTTCGGGGTGGCCCAGTGGTTTGGGCTTGGGACTTCCATGTTGGAGGTCTCAAGTTCGAAACCCCTTGCCAGCGAAAGCAAGGGTTTGCCCTCTGGGTCGAGCTCATCGCACCGGGCTTGCCTAGTGCGGGTTACCTCTCCTATGTGGTTTGCGAGCTATTGCATAAGAGCGGGGGTTTTACCCTGTGCGCATCCAAAGGGTAGCAGCTGCGGGTTTCCCTTGTCATCAAAAAAAATAAAATTGACAAACATTATATTTAAACTAGCTCAAAAAGAATAACAAATTAATAACGGACAATGCACAGATAATGATAAAATAATTTCGACACTTTTCTAAAAAAAACAACTACTAGTGCTAACAACATCAAAGAAATAAATAAATTAAGAAGAATAATGGAAGTAAAATCTGTAATCTAAACAAAAATAAAAATAAAAAATGAAACCGAACACCACAATCACAATAGTATCTAAATGAAGTATAATCTGTAACCGATTAAAATAATAATAACAATAATAAACAAAAGAGGAAACAAAGGCATAATAATAACAATAAAATAAATCCACAACTTAGAGAAAATTACAATACTCAACCTTCTTTAATTAATAATTAGAAATTACCATTATGTGCCACTTTATACGAATTGAGAGAATTAACCACAAATAAATAGACTAATCAAGAATAGCTAACTATAGTATCCAAAATAAACTAAACAAAAATAATGGATTCGAAAGCACATTCATAAACTGTAAACGTAAACAATAATAAAAAGAAATCAAGGAATAACAGATACAAAAATTACCGATCCCGGTCTGGTTCCTGGCGACTTCGTTGTTTTGAGCTACTATTCGCCGGAGTTGTTTTGCCAGAGTTCGGAATGTTGGTTGTTGTTATTGTTACCTCCTGGAGGAGCTCGTGGGTGGAGCTGGTGTGGTCAGCCTCTGGTTTCGATGAGTTGGAGCTTGGAGCTCACTGGCTGTTGTTCGCCTGGGCTTCGTGGGTTTTGAGCTACTTCTTGCTGGGGTTGCTGGTTCAACGAGCAAAGGGGAGAACGAGGATGGGGTTTTGGGTTGGTTTCGCCGGAAAAAGGGTGAAGAGAGTTGGGGTCTTAGTGGTGGTTTTGGTGGTGATTTTGGCTGAAGGGTGGTGGCGTTTGGGTGGGTTGGAGAGCTGCTGGTTGCAGCAGAGAAAACAGGAGGGGTTTTGGGTCTGTTTGGTTGGCTGATTTTGTGGATTTGGGGTCTATTTGGATCGTGGTTTTGCCGGAAAAAGAGGTGAACGGAGATGGTTTGTTGGGTTGGAGTTTCTCGGAGGTTGTTTGGTTGTTGTTAATGGTTGTTTTCGGTGGCTTTTGGTCTTTGGTGGTGGCTGGATTGTTGCTGGAAACGAAAAGGGGGGTGAGCACTGGCTCGCCGGAAATGGAGTTTGAGTGGTGATGAGGAAGGAGGGTGGCGGCAGCTTTGACAAGATGATAGAAAAATCGTTTTTGGTTTCAGTCATTTTGAAATTTTTCACCACTTGGACTAAAAATATTGTTCATCCTCTTCACTTAATGAATAAGCTATTGTTTATATAGAAAATTGAAAATTATCTATAGTATAATACGATTATCTTAAAATCATGGGCTGAAACCATTAGTTAAATAAAATATTTGTATATAAATCTTATTTATATTTGAATCAATTTTTAGACAGTGCAAAATATCAAAATTAATATTAGCAAATGTAACAAATAAAAATGAATATTATTAAAAAAAAGGAAAGTAATGAACGTAACAAATGACATGTATAAAGTGCAATTTAATAGAAATAACTATTTAATCAAGATGAACAAATATTTGAACGTATTTAACCAGCTATGACAAAAAATAATGAAATTAAAATTAACTGATAAAAAATCCTAAATTTTGACAAATAAAAATAATTATCGATAAACTTATTTAAAATTATAAAAAATGTATTTTGAACAATTAAATAAATAAAACTTAAAAGTTACGAATTTTGAAAATGTTAGGTCAAAATTGGGTGTCAACAATTATAGATGACCTTTTTTTTTTCTTCAAATACAAAAATTAAATTACAATATAGACAAAAAAAAAATTGTTTTAAATTATAATATAGCTGCAAAAAAATAGTTTTAATTTTTTTTTCTTTACACCAAGGAATGAAAGAAAAAATAAAATAAGAATAAGAAACTAAAATAATGAAAATCAAAGAAGTCAAAAAATAATTTATGTATGAAAAAAATTGAAATATACCTTGAACTTTGCAGAAGAATCTTATATATCCCTAAATGATTTTTAAAACAATTAAAAGTCAAAAATATAAATTTAAAATTAATTTTTTCACTTCCGTTAAATGAAGATATATGTGAGCTCATTTTGTAACGATAGGGTATATGTGAGCCGTTTATATAACAACAAAGGTATATATGAGTCACTTTCATAACGAGGACATATCAACTCTAAATAAAAAAATTGACAGGTATATCAGACCCTTTTCCCTAGAAAAAATAATACCTTAGAGAAAAGGAAAATGGAACAGAATCCAATTCTTCACAATTCTAAAACGTATTCATGATATGCTAGGCCAAACTAAGCACTACAATGAGCTGTTGAAAAATGGACAAGTGCACAAAGCAAAAAGTAACGAATAGACATAAAGCAAAAGATACCTTCCTCAATTATTCAATTAGTGGAGTCATACTTTTTGAAAAGAGAAACGAGGACAGTTTTGCTTCTTGTAGATTAGCTGAAACATAGTTGTACTAATTTCAAGCAATCACTGATCATTCTTGTTTGCAAATTACTCTCAACATTCAACAGGTAAAGTAAGTTCTATCTTAGTAGTTGAAGATAGAAAAATTTATCTTCTCATCAAAATCATTTTGTGTTTCCTTGTTTTGATTTGCAGATTTCAGAAATGGAGGTTGGCTTAGCAGTTGGTGGTGCATTTCTTCTCTTCAGCTTTGAATGTTCTCTTTGATAGGCTTGCTCCTCAGGGTGATCTTCTCAACATGTTTCACAAGCATAAGCATCATGTTCGGCTCTTCAAGAAGCTGAAAATGACTTTACTTGGTCTTCAAGCTGTTCTAAGTGATGCAGAGAATAAGCAGGCATCAAATCAATTTGTGAGCCAGTGGCTTGATGAGCTTCGAGATGCTGTGGACATTGCTGAAAACTTAATTGAACAAGTCAATTATGAAGTTTTGAGGCTTAAGGTTGAAGGTCAGCATCAGAATCTTGCAGAAGCAAGCAATCAGCAAGTAAGTGACCTTGACCTGTGCTTAAGTGATGATTTTTTTCTTAACATAAAGGAGAAGTTGGAAGACACCATGGAAACATTGGAGGATTTGGAAAAGCAAATTGGCCGCCTTGGCTTAAACGAGCATTTTGGTTCGACTAAACAAGAAACTAGAACACCTTCAACTTCTTTGGTTAATGAATCTGATATCTTTGGTAGGCAGAGCGAAACAGAGGATTTGATTGACCGTTTATTGTCTGAAGATGCAAGTGGAAAAAATCTGACTGTAGTTTCTATTGTTGGAATGGGTGGCGTGGGTAAGACAACACTTGCTAAAGCGGTTTACAATGATGAGAGGGTGAAGAACCATTTTTGTTTGAAAGCTTGGTATTGTGTTTCTGAGGCATATGATGCTTTCAGAATAACAAAAGGGTTACTTCAAGAAATTGGCTCATTTGACTTAAAGGATGACAACAATCTTAATCAGCTACAAGTCAAATTGAAGGAAAGCTTAAAGGGAAAGAAGTTTCTTATTGTATTGGATGATGTGTGGAATGAAAACTACAATGAGTGGGATGACTTGAGAAATATTTTTGTACACGGAGATATAGGAAGTATGATAATTGTAACGACACGTAAAGAGCGTGTTGCCTTGATGATGGGTAGTGGGGCAATCAACGTGGGGACTCTGTCTGATGAAGTCTCTTGGGAACTATTCAAACGACATTCACTAGAAAACAGGGATCCTGAGGAACATCCAGAACTTGTAGAGGTTGGAAAACAAATTGCACACAAGTGCAAAGGATTGCCTTTAGCTCTAAAGGTACTTGCTGGTATTTTACGCTGCAAATCAGAGGTGGATGAGTGGAGAGACATTTTTGAGAAGTGAAATATGGGAGCTTCCAAGTTGTTCGAATGGTATATTACCAGCGCTAATGTTGAGCTACAATGATCTTCCTGCACATTTGAAGCAATGTTTTGCTTATTGTGCAATATATCCTAAAGATTATGAATTTTGCAAAGACCAAGTTATTCACTTGTGGATTGCTAATGGTCTTGTACATCAGTTGCATTATGGTAACCAATACTTTCTCGAGTTGAGATCAAGATCACTGTTCGAAAGGGTCCCAAAGTCTGCATGGAAACTGGAAGTATTCTTAATGCATGACCTTGTCAATGATTTGGCCCAAATTGCATCTTCAAATCTTTGTATAAGGTTGGAAGAGAACAAAGGATCGCATATGTTGGAACAATGTCGGCACATGTCCTATTCAATAGGAGAAGGTGGTGAGTTTGAGAAATTGAAATCACTCTTTAAATCAGAGCAGCTGAGGACATTACTTCCAATCAATATGCCTTTCTATTGCCAAAATAAGCTAAGCAAGAGGGTGCTGCATAACATTTTGCCAAGACTAACATCCTTAAGGGCATTATCGTTGTTACGCTATGAAATTGTTGAGTTGCCAAATGACTTATTTATCGAATTAAAGCTCCTGAGATTTTTGGATATTTCTCGGACAAAGATTAAAAGGTTGCCAGATTCCATTTGTGTGTTGTATAACTTAGAGACACTTCTCCTTTCATCTTGTGATTATCTTGAGGAGCTACCGCTGCAGATGGAGAAGTTGATCACCTTGCGTCATCTTGACATAAGCAACACTCGTGCCTTGAAGATGCCACTATATCTGAGCAAGTTGAAAAGCCTCCAAGTGTTAGTGGGAGCCAAGTTTCTCTAGGTGGTTCGAGAATGGAAGATTTGGGTGAAGTACATAACTTGTACGGATCTCTATCAGTTGTAGAGTTGCAAAATGTGGTTGATAGTAGGGAAGCTGTGAAGGCAAAAATGAGAGAGAAGAATCATGTTGAGCAGTTATCTTTGGAGTGGAGTGGAAGTAGTAGTGCCGACAATTCACAAACAGAAAGAGACATACTTGATGAGCTACGCCCACATAAAAACATAAAAGAAGTCGAGATCACCGGATATAGAGGGACAACATTTCCAAATTGGCTAGCTGATCCTTTGTTTCTTAATCTAGTAGAGTTGTCTATTGATAACTGCAAGAACTGTTATTCCTTGCCAGCACTAGGACAACTCCCTTGTTTGAAATTCCTTTGGATTAGAGGGATGCATGGAATAACAGAGGTGACGGAAGAATTCTATGGCAATTTGTCCTCCAAAAAGCCTTTTAGCTCTCTTCAGGAGCTTGGATTTGTTGATATGCCGGAGTGGAAGCAATGGAACATACTAGGAATTGGAGAGTTCCCTATACTTGAGAACCTTTCAATTATAAATTGCCCTGAAGTCTGTTTGGAGAGACCCATCCAACTTTCATGTTTAAAAAGGTTTGCAGTTTGTGGTTGTCCTAAGGTTGGAGAAGCTCAAATGTTTAGATCCCAACTTGAGGGAATGAAGGAGATTGAGAATTTAGAAATTAGTGATTGTAACTCTGTTACCTCCTTTCCTTTTAGCATACTGCCCACTACCTTGAAGAGAATAACCATATATCGTTGCGAGAAATTGAAATTGGAGGTGCCAGTTGATGAGATGAGTATGTTTCTGGAGGAATTGACACTGTATAAATGTGATTGTATAGATGATATATCACCTGAGTTTTTCCCAACAGCACGCCATTTGAATGTAGAGGATTGCCACAACCTTACTAGGGTTTTGATTCCTACTGCCACTGAAAGACTCACTATTTTGAATTGTGAGAATCTTAAAATACTTTCGGTTGCATGTGGGGGAACCCAGATGACAATTTTGTATATTGAGGGCTGTTGGAAGCTGAAGTGGCTGCCAGAACGTATGCAGCAACTCCTTCCATCTCTTAAGGAACTGTATCTCTATAATTGTCCAGAAATAGAGTCCTTTCCTGAAGGAGGATTGCCCTTCAATTTACAAGCCCTTTGGATCAGAAATTGCAAGAAACTGGTGAATGGCCGAAAGGAGTGGAGTTTACAGAGACTCTCCTGTCTCAGAGAGTTATCCATCGTACATGATGGCAATGACGAAGAGATTGTTGGTGGTGAGAATTGGGAGTTACCTTCCTCTATTCAAAGACTTACCATAGAGAATCTGAAAACATTAAGCAGCCAACATCTCAAAAGCCTCACCTCTCTTCAATATCTATGTATTCGTAATTTACCTCAAATTCAGTCACTGCTGGAACAAGGGTGGCTTCCCTCGCCTCTTTCTGAGCTACGTTTATATCACCATCATGAGCTCCATTCACTAGGTCTTTGGCACCTCACTTCGCTTCAAATTCTACACATCATTAATTGCCCTAATCTCCAATCACTTTCCGAATCAGCACTGCCCTCTTCCCTCTCTAAACTACATATTCGCGACTGCGCATTGCTCACACCACTACTAGAATTTGACAAGGGGGAATACTGGCCAGAAATTTCTCATATCTCCACCATACAGATCAATGAGGAATACCTTTAATGATTAAAACAACTGTAAGTTTTTCTTTTTCCTCATAAGCCTTTTATTATTTTTTCAACTTCTCTTTGCTTTTATGTTAATGCTTTTTCTTTATTACATTCTTGTTTCGCAGTATGGAGTGTCTATTGCCACTATGAAGCTGATGATTTTAATTTTAGAACTCAATAGCAATTAATGTTACATATCTTACTCGAAGATTTTTATCGCTTGAACTTTCATCTCAATAGCAAGTCATGTATACTTGTTCTTTCCCTTTTCAGTGAGTTTAGAGTGATGCACATGTCCACTATCAAATTCAAAACTCTTAATAGAATTCAAAGGTGTACCATACACAAGATGTGTTTCAGTGAGTTTAGAGTGATGCACATGTCCACTATTCAGGTTTTTATTAATGATTCAGCCCCATCGTAGAGATCGATTGGGAATACCTGTGATGATTAAAACAAATGGCTCTCCAACTGATGTAAGTTATTCTTTTCCATCAGAAGCTTTTTATTTTTGTTTTCATTTTGCTTTTTTGTTGATTCTTTTCCTTTATAAAACCTTGTTGAGCAGTGTAGAATGCCTATTGCTCAAATCATAAATCTTGATTAGGAGAACCCTGTAATGATTAAAACGAGTTCTGCTCCGATAGATGTAAGTTATTCTATTTCCTTAAATGTAACTAATATTCACTGGATATTCTATTTCCTTAGTATATTTTGATTGAGATAATTTGCTCAAGAAAGTTGATTGCTTAATATATGTTATCACCTTTGGAGATATAGGGTCCAAGAAATGCAACCTCACTTTCTCAATCAGGTAGCCAACACATTGATAAAAGTTATATCAAGCTTCAAATTTAAAGAAATTGAAAACGACTTTGAATATCTGCTTCCATTATTTTACGCCATGTTGTACCACATTGATTTCAAGTTTGATTCCACTGCATAATTACATCAGTTTTTTTTTTGTTTTGATATTCAATTATCTAGAATATTACATCACTTTTTGGTTTTGATAGTCAGAGAACTTTGAAGATTATGAAGTTTCCTTCAAATTAAGCCCATTACTCAACCTCGAGTGACACCTCAGAGCTAGCGGAAAGTCAAGAAAGTTTATCCTGCTCGGGATGAAGTTAATGTTAGATAACAAAATAATGATTTACTCGTGTTTCAGTTACTAAGATTCTTATTTTGTAGTAATATTTTGGACTCTCATAACTCAGTGACATGGATTTCCTTCATTGGCACCCTCATCAGTCATCAATCAGTGAAACAGAGAAATCGACTGTTTCAAAACTCTCTGAAACCCATTTTGAGCTTCATGCCTTCAATTCCGATGAAACCCAAAAGGCATCAACAGAGTAGAAGAATTCAACCCAAAACCCATTTCAACCCAAGTTTTCTATTCCTGCTTCACCTGATAGGAAGAAGTTTACGTATGAGAAAGGTCTAAAGGTACAAATATTTTTTCTTCTCCTTTTCTTACTGTGGTGCTTAAATTGGTTTTGTCCCACTTTGCATCACAATGATGTTGGAGTATATCGGTTTTCTACTGGTATTCAGATACTTAAAATGGAAAATTGCTTTGGAAAATATCGTTTCATTGTTCGAAAGTTGTTTAACATACAATTGGCATCTGTTGATCCAATTTTTTCATTTTTCTGTTAATCTTCTTCTATCCTTAGTTTACATGTCTTCTGATTGAGTTATAATACATGCCTTGATTCTATTGAAGATGAGAAATCGTCAAATGCCTTTATGAAGTGTTTGCTAAGTTGATGTCGCCTAATTCACATTTCACTGAATTAATTTCTGACCCAAGTTTATGCATATGTTTGGTCTAACATTGAAAAGGAAAAATGTCGAATGATATGGATATTTTTGTTTTTAAGAATACAAAGTCACTATAAAGGTAGAAAATTTCGATGGTATTAATTTTGATATGCATCACCATTGAGAACTTTGCCTGAGGTATTAATTTCTATTTTCGCTGTTTAGAAATGTTTAATGTAACTCCTAATTGTGATGCTTCATTCACACATTTTTGAAATATATTACATAGAAAATATGCTTCTATCCAAGGAAAATTATATCTGCCTAGCTCTAACCTCCAGTACGTGTATTCATGAATAAAATGATAGAAAATGGAAACAAGGAAGGAAAACATGTGCTGTTTGTTCTCGATTTTTAAATATTGTATCCTCTTTCGCTTCTGTTTTTCATTTGCTCTCCTAGCTAATAGTCTTTTATTTACTGAATAATCATATGTTATATGTCTCCTTAAGTTCCTGTATTTTTTATTTCACAAACTTCACATAAGCATACAAGTAATTGCAATAGTTTATTTGTGCTTCCAGATTCGTTTAGTGTGAGGTCTGATTTTTCTTTTTCCTTTTACAGCTATTAGGAAAAGCTTGCCTATGTGGCTCTTGACTATGAGCAGGAGATTGAAACTGCCAGGAGCAGCTCCTCCACTGAAAAGAACTATGAATTGCCTGATGGACAAGTTATTGCCTTTGGTGCTGAGAGGTTCCATTGCCCAGAGGTCCTCTTCCAGCCAACGATCCTTCCCGTGCGTTGATCGTGGATAAGACACTCAGAAGAAGAAAAGATGACACGAAGATGGTTAGCTGCAACATGACTGACAGAAATTTCTTTATAGGAGGAAAATGGAATCTATCATGAAGAATCCGGGATGAAGACATAGACCCACAGTGTGAAAGAGGTAAGAGAGTTTCATCTACAATGTTAACAGAAACTTTAATAGGTAAAGGAGGCAGACAATAGCAATTGATTATCGTTTAGTGATTATCTTGCTTGTTATAAACATCAGGAGCATTTGATGGTAAGATGTCATATATCTTGGTATCTAACAGGTACCCTGGGGTATTAATGAGTGAGGTTGAGGATGGAAAGCCATTCAGCCAAGTTGTTAATGCTGCTAAAAGCCTTGGCTACACTATTAATGTTTGTAAAATCACCATATATATGAGAATTGAAGATATGACTTACAAAAACAGAAAGTTGTCGATTGAATATATGATATTGTCTATTCATAATTATGTGTAGTCTTACATTTTTGTTTATATGTTGCTCTTTCTATGAGTAATTTCCACTCGTTTTCCTGTCAGGCAAGTGTTCCTCTGGTACAATAATATTTTCTGGCCTTCTGCTTAGGAAGTTTGTCTAGGACTAATTTGAATGTGAGAGAAGTCAGAGAAACACGAGAAGCGATTAAGAGAATGTGTAATACAAATGTCTTACACATGAATTCTTCTTTTATATGCTCACTTTACGGTGCATCTTCATACATTTGTCCAATGTGGTGAACATGCACATACAACTCTATATTACAATTATCTCTTGTTATTTACATTTAGCTATCTGATTCTCCCCTCTAGCTGGTGCGTACATGTAACCTGTATAGGATTTGATGAATATGTCTATAAGTTGATCGGTCGACTTTCCAAACTTTATAAGAGTGTCGTGAAAGCATTTTTTGGGGAAGGGACAGTCGGTTTCTATATGCTTGGTCCTCTTGTCAGATTCTGCATACAATGGATACAAGTACAACTTGATTAATTATCACACTCAAGTTTTGTTATGATCAAATTTCAATTGTTAGAGAAAAATGTATCTCAGGTTTAACTCTGCCCAAAAGTTACCTCATGACATGCGGATTGCCAAAGATCACATAAAGAGATTACAACAAAACATCCTCAACTGAAGTGAGACTAACATCTTAATTCTTATCGCTTGCACAGGGCGGAACATATGAAGTATGTATAACATAACACAGGGGGGCTTAACATTGGGTAATAACTAAACACTAGGGATGAGCTTGAGTGAGATATCATTAAGAAAATGGACTTTGTGCCTAACCCAGTCCAGAAAGCTAGTCCAAGATCATATAAGGGTACCTTTAACCAATGTGGTAAACTAACAGCAACCATTTTCGATCCTTTTGGTGGTTGTTAATCTATGTGCTCATCGTTACCATAGTCATGACCCAATATTCTCTTTCTTCTATATTGCCCAATTGCCTGAAAGTATTATAGTATTTAGAAGTAAAACGTATATAAAGAAGGTATCACTGTCCATTTTGCATCGTAATTGTCTTTGATTTTTGTTGATAATCCTTTCCAAGAGCAGGCTTCCTACCCCAAAATTCTGTTTCCAGCTGGATTATATAAGAAATTTGGAGCCATTCAAAACTTCTAAGGAGATTCTAGTTCCTGTTCTAATAAAGAAATAATGTCTTCAATGCATTGTCAAGATGCAGTCAATTTTCTAGCAGCAGTTAGCAGGAACCGTACATCCATCCCAAAATATCATTATGGAAGAAATCGCTGACACTACACTTCATCTCAATTCTCATTAGGATAGTTGAAGTATGAAGTTATTCTTATGTATTTATACTTATCTGCAGATCCTCGGGATGATCTAGGTGGTATGGATGCAGCAAGAAAGGTTAGGAAACGTCTTTCTTCTGATTAAACTTACAGTGTCCAAGATTTCAATCCATTTATATTGCCAAATTATTATGCTGATTAAGCATTATCTTTCTTTTTTCTTTATCTGAACTTACCTGCAGTCTTACAGTATGCATAATTGATACAATTATTCTATTTTGCAAAGGCTGGCTATGATATTATGTAAAAAGGCTGGCTATGATATTATGTGAAAAGATCTGAGCTTCCAATATTGGAGACCCTATAACCTTTAAAATCCTCTGTTCAACCCATATGCAACAACTATATAACTCAACTGGAAATGGCTAAGAATCAAATATACGATACTCCAAGACCACTCAATTCTTTGTTTATAAGCCAACATAAACAATATGATACAATTATTCTGTTTTGCAATGTCAACTGCAACGAGTCTGAACCATTGAATTAACCATCTAAAAGAACGTAATTAAAAGTAAATTTTGAAAAAAGAACGAAAAACTAGTTGAGTGATTGGTGATTATCATTTGCTTATTCTGTTTTTTCCCCTTATCATGGTTACTTGTAAGTATAATCTCGTAAGGAAAAAAAACATTCAAGCCAGTCCCATCTGGATATAAAATTCAAGGTTTCTTCTAGTCTGTGATTCTGCTATTCTCTTTTGTATCATGAAAAGTGTCTCGTTAGCTATAGTCATATGTGCATGAGAGTGTAGAGGGAGCATCTCTGCTTCATATTTCAAGTACTTTGTTATAATCTTTCCTTAATTTGTATTTGGGATGATGATGTCTTTGGGGGGTAGAAAAGCTGTGATTAAGCCAGAATCATTTTCGCAGATTGCGATGGGAAGCATATCTTATCCAACTTAATATAGTTAATACTTGGTTTCTCGGTACCTTTCATGAAACGTTCATAGTTCTAATTGGTTCTGTAAATTTTGAGAAGTTGAACATCCCTCATAACAATATTTTGTTTTGATGTCTTCATAACAGGCTCTAATTCTTGCTCGGCTCCTTGGACGACGTTTAAACCTAGATAATATGAAGGTTAGGATACATGTCACCATGTCTCTTTGTTTTGTTACTAGCTCAATTAGCTTCAGAAACCTTGATGCATATGCAAATCCCTTTTCAGATTGAAAGCTTGTATCCTGAAGAAATGGGACCAGATGTGATGCCTCTGGAAGACTTTCTAGTGAATGGCCTTCCCTTACTTGATAAGAAAATTGAAGATAGGACTAAACAAGCTTGAATTTTCTGCGTTAGTTTGCTTGATGATGATGCGTGGTAATTCTTTCACTTCATTTTTAGTTTGCTCAATGGATAATGACAACTTGATCTTTTATTCTAATCACATTCTGCAAGTCACCATACCTCTAGCAGCTTAAAGCAAAGCTTGCTCACTGACGGGAGTGTTATGGTCAGTTGTTCACCTCTCGTATCCACGACCAATTAAAGAACGAGTTAGAAGTATAAATCTGTAATGGCATAGATGAGGGAACATTGAACTATCTTTAAATGATAGTTCCAAAATATTTTCATTAATTAGTTCTTTTTTCATGTATTTAGGGTTGGGAAGGTGGCAGATGGGTATGCAGAATTATCATATTTTTTTCTTGAGACTTATGTTGAGAAAATTGTTATAAGCTCTTGTATTTAGTATAACATCAATTGAAAATTGGGAAGCAAAAACTTGTCGGCTCATTCTACATAAGACCTATGTTTGGATTTACAAAAACAACATACCCAATGTAACCCCACAAGTGGGGTTTGGGGAGGATAGGATGTATGCAGACCTTGTCTGGATTTGTTTGAATATAATTCACTAACATGTTCATATGGTAATGATGGGTTCGTTTGGATGCAAAATGGCAATGTTATCCATACTAGTAGAAACTTAGAATCTATCTTTGGTTTCTTTAAGCGGTTTGGTCTCACCTTGTAAGGTTTGAAGTTTCATTTCTTGTATTGTCTTGAACAAGTGTATATCAAGGAGTATTTATTAACTTGTTGGTTGAAGAAAAAAAATAGATATTTCTGTTTATTGGTTTTTGTCTTCTTGATAAGTGTCTACTTTAGAACTATTATGAATTGTTCTAGCAAAATCAACTGCTACAAACAGCTTCACTGAAAACAAATAGCACAGAAGAAAGTGTCTGGCGGTCTGCTGCTTGGGGAAAAATTGATTATTGAAAACACTTTTGTGTACATGACATTAACATCACTCATTTTCAGATATGAAGTTGGCATCCAAGAAGTTCCAAAAGATTTTGCATTGGGAAGATTAAGAGGAAGTGATAATGTGGTGCGCATTGTGCACTTTCACCTCCCATTTTGCTGTTTCTTTGGTCCCTCTTCTTTTTGTTCCATTACTTTGTTTTCCGTTGGGAATTTTCTTTTAACTGCTATGGAGGTTCAACCATATCATACTCGTCGTTATTAGATTATCAAGGTAAAACATTTTTAATTGTTTAAAGCCCTTTTGTGATGTCATTTTTGTAGTGATGTATTACATCATGCTGTGATTTTAAAGAATTGCTCATCTTTTACCCATGCCTAAGGCGAACGCTTTACTTTGTCTTTACTCTTTACACATCATCTGGTGTCGCCCTGCAAAACTTTGTGCAGTTAAGGTCTTTGATTCTATTCTACCTTAATCGTAGAATGTATCCCTTGTACTAATTAGGAGGTAATACAAACAGTAAGATTAATGACTTGGTTTTGTCGAAGAATGACTATGATGATTGAACGTCTGTAATTTGGATTGTTTGTCTACAGGTGGAGATATACAGCCGTTGTTACGAGAAACAACCTTTGGTTATCCAAGGCGCTGGAGCAGGAAATGATACCACAGCAGCTGGTGTCCTAGCTGATATCCTTGACATTCAAGATTTATTCCCTTGACCGAGTATTATACACTGAGATACAAACATTCGATCCTCAAAGGATGAAAAATCGACTCTTCTTGTCCCTCTGCTTCAATCATTGAAGACTGAAATCAGGCTCATTTAGCACATCCATTTTTTGAAAAAAAATTCGACACGTGAGAGTGCGTTGTCAGTTTATGGAAAATTATTGCACGATTTCTCGCGTCTATCTTGTCACTAGTGAAATTGATCATATATTTGCCTCATTGCTTGACTAGTTTTTAAGATTTCACTTCAGCTTATAATCAGTTTATGTTGTAATGACCATTTTGGTACCTAAACTTTTTATGTTACTACAATTTTAGAGACTTAGTTATTATGCTTTCAGAATAACAAAAGGGTTAATACAACGTGTAGGATGACTTGAGAAATCTTTTTGTACAAGGAGATATAGGAAGTAAGATCATTGTAACAACACGCAAAGAGTGTGTTGCCTTGGTGATGGGAAATGAGCAAATTAGCATGGAGAATCTATATATGGACTACCTATTTCATTTTATGAGAAGAGAAGAGAATTTTAAAAATGATGTTGGCCTTTTCTTTTCTTCGACTGTCAGCTATACAAAACCAAGACAAATGTTGTAATGGAGAACTTGTTCCCTCCAGCACTATCTTCATTTATCTTTATCCTGACAAAATTTAGAAAGTAGAAAACGTAAAACAAAGAAAATAATAAGGAAGAAAGTGTGAAGATTTACCAAAACTCTTGCTTCCAGTAATGAATAGTCAAGAAACCAGACTGGCAGACTCCATAATTATTTTCTATGGCTGTGAGCTGCAGACTGTAGATAAAACATAGTTGTACCAATTACAAGCAAAAGAGAGGGGGAGAAATCATTCTTGATTATATATCACTCTTAGCTCTTAGCATTCAACAGGTAAAATAAAATTGTTAGTAATTGAAGTTTGAAACATTTATCTTCTTAAAATCATTTTAAGAAGATATCATTTAAACCATATGGCAATCTAGCTCGGCAAGAGATACATGCTAAAGTATATCCTGCTCGGGATGAATTCAAGGTTAGATAATAAAATAATGATTTACTCGTGTTTCAGTTATCAAGATGCTTATTTTGTAGTAATAGTTTCCTCTCTCATAAATCAGCGAAATAGATTTCCTTCATTGGCACCCTCATCAGTCATCAATCAGCAAAACAGAGAAATCAACGGTTTCAAAATTCTCTGGAACCCATTTCGAGCTTCACGCCTTCAATTCTGATGACACAAAAGACATCAACAGAGTAGAAGAATTCAACCCAAGTTTTCGACTCCTGCTTCACCTGATGAGAAGAAGTTTACGGGAGAAAGTTTGCCTTAGGTATTAATTTCTATTTTCGCTGTTTAGATATGTTTCCTGTAGCTCCTAATTGTGATGCTTCATTTACACATTTTTAAAATTTTATCTAATAACAGGGATACAGTATGTCCGAGTCAACTTGATGTTACAAACTTGCAGCTAATTGTTGTGCGTTATATTTTTGCATATCATGAAGAATCCGGGATGAAGACATAGACCCGTAGTGTGAAAGGGGTAAGAGAGTTCCATCTGCAATGTTAACAAAATCTTATATAAAAATAATATATACGAAAATTAATTTATAAAAATTATATACCAAATTGAAAACTTAAAATCAATATTATAAAAATATTACATCTTATATATATAAAAGAGAACCTTATGCCCGCCTACGTGGCGCCACCACAAACCAGAATTCTCTTTAAATTTATTTATTTCCAAAACTAGCCTTCCTCTTTTAATGAAAAGTTGTGACATTTATGAAAAATTGTGAATTTTATGAAAAGTTTTGACTTTAACTAGCCTTCCCCTTTCATGAAAAGTTGTGACTTTTATGAAAAATTGCGACTTTAATGAAGAGTTGTGACTTTTATGAAAAATTCTGACTTTTATGAAAGGTTGTGACCTTTCCGAAGGGTTGCAACCTTTCTAATAAATCACAATAAACATTTGTTCACATTACCCTTTGTTGTCTATAAATAGAGGGATTTCCTCTCATTTTAAAACAACTGAAATTCTGAATCTCTTCTTCTTCTTCACAATTAAATATTTGTTTGTTTTGCTCATGTTGAGTGGCTCAGTGATACCATTGCTTATGTTACAGATCCTGGTATGTATTTTTACAGTCATTAATTTATGCTTATGTTATTAAGAATAAATGATAAAGATGTAATAATTTTCATTTTCCTTTACATTATTAATTTTTGTTACTACGTAATCTTATATGTAAGATAATATAGTGTTTTTGTTTTAATGACTGATAGGTTTTTAAGTATTATTTTATAAATTCCATGATACTATTAAATTCCCGAGCGAAGCGCGGGTAATTTTACCAGTAAAAGATAATTAAGTATACTGCGAACTTAATTAAAATATAAAATTTATAATATGTTAAATTAATTTTTTTTAATATTATACAAATTCAGAGTTGCACATGTTCACCCTTGTGCTTTGATAAAATGCAGAATCTTATGTATAAAAAAATACAAGAGGTTGTGGTGAAAGTTTATTTCCAATAGAAATACGTGAATTTGGTGGTATGCCGTCCCCACCAAAGACATAACCTATATTTATAAAGATTATGAAAACTTACTAGTTCAAGAAAAAAAGAAGTGATGTATGATTGAGAAAAGAAAGGAAGAGAGTTTGTAGCGAGAGAGAGATATGGAAAGTTTCGCAAAGAGAGAGAGGCATATTTTGTTGTGTATTAAATAAGTCTGAATATTATTAAACTTATTAGCAAATTTTATTCGTTTTGATTCTTTTTTCTTCTATGGCTGTCCACCCACCAAAATAAATAAAATATCCTTCCTCTTTTGCCTCAATTGTTGGCTAAAAGTCAACTCATGGAAAAGAGACAATTTAAATTATTATTATTATTTTCCTATAGCTGTCAGTTGTAGATGGTAGAAAACTATAGTTGTACCAATTATAGATCACTGATTATTCTTGTTTGCAAATTACTCTTAGTAATTGAAGATAGAAACATTTATCATTTTGTGTTGCTTTGCAGATTTCAGAAATGGAAATTGGGTTAGCAGTTGGTGGTGCATTTCTCTCTTCAGCTTTGAATGTTCTCTTTGATAGGCTTGCTCCTCACGGTGATCTTCTCAACATGTTTCAGAATCATACGAATGATGTTCGGATCTTTAAGAAGCTGAGAGCGACTTCGGATGGTCTTAAGATTGTGCTAAGTGATGCAGAGAATAAGCAAGCATCAAATCCATCGGTGAGCGAGTGGCTTGATGAGCTTCGAGATGGTGTGCACTCTGCTGAAAACTTAATGAGAAGTTAATTATGAAGCTTTGAGGCTTAAGGTGGAAGGCCAGCATCAAAATCTTGCAGAAACAAGCGACCAGCAAGTAATTTGATATTTTGATAATTTGATTGATTCAGGATGAACGTCGATCGTATGATTACATGGATTCACAACCAGATATCAACGTCAGGGTCAGAGCTAGAAAATTTTCTGGAAGGCTGAACTACTTGAAAAAAATGAAAGTTACATTACTGCACACAGATGCGAGATCAAGAGAAACTTTTTAGATCTGTTGTCGATATTCTTAGCAGTGTAACTCATGTGCACATTCTACAGCAAAAAGTACAGTAAGTAGAAGAACTCAATTTTTAGCAATGAAATGGCACCATTTTCTCACACTCAAAATGATCTTAAATTTCATGAATGAAACAATCATATATTACTTAGCTTGAAGCCCCATTTTCTTCCTCGTTTTCCCAACGTATAAATCCTTAGACTTGCTCATCTCGGGGACTAATCCAATGATCGTCGTGAATGAAAATTGAGCCACTACTTCGAGGCTCGTATATTGCAAGTTTGCTTTCTTTTCCTCCGCTCATCAAAAGTTTCAAGTTCTTCGCGGTCATTAGAGCATGTTTTTGAGCCGAATATCCTTGTTTAAGTTCCTGATAGCAAAGAAGCATTAGAGTTCAATTGAACAATAATAACATACACAGTATAGTCTCACAAGTAGAGACTGTGGAGTGTTTACGCAGACTTTATCCCTACCTTGTCAAGTAAGAACTCAATTGAATAATAGAATCAAAACTCAAGTAATAGATAGCTGCTTCAGGTCCTCTGCCTACTGCTATATTATCAAAATGCCTTCTAAATTCGACATATATATTCTTCAACTGTAGTTTCTCTTGTAACAACAACAACAAATCCTTATGTTTCTATGACCCTTGATTCTAAGATTCTCATCAACCTTCAATCTTCCAAAATTATCGATTCGATCCTTCAAATACGTCTCCCTTAACCACTCTGAACTCGGTGGCTTTCCCGTGCAAAGAAAATTGGCTGAATCCCATGAAATTACTAGTACATCTTGACATCTTTGTAAAAGAGTAGATCGCAGTCATGATCAAGACAATTGGTTGAATCCCGTGAAATTAACTTAAATCTAATATAAAAATATTATACCCTTTAACTTGGCCTCAACTCCTAAATATGCCCTCCAACTTTGGATGTACTCGAGTAGTCAGTTAAATTTGTATAAAGTTGAATAAATAGATACAAGCGTCCTAAGTGACATCTTACATGACAATTTTTCATCTGACGTGTCTTGTATGTATTATGTCACGTAAGACTTGTGTGTCTATTTGTTCAACTTTATACAAGTTAAAGTGTTTACTTGTGCATACCCAAAGTTGGAAGACATAAATGTGAAATGATGCCAAGTTAAAGAGCATATTATTCAAAATTCAAAAATAGGGTTTGAAGTTTCAATTCCATTGATGGATAACGTTACAATTTTAGTGTAGCACAATGGAACTTGGAATTCAAACAACCACTACAATAATTATCACATTGATGCAATTTTAGTCAATTCTACTTCCAATTTGACAAATTTGGTCATAAATTTATCTTATTATCCTTGACAGAATGTTATGGATGGTTCTAAAATTATGAAATAAAATGTATTTATTAGGATAAATTTACTTTTTTACCCTTGGTCGTTCTTGGTCTCCACATTTCTATATAGTAGAAAAATTCAAGAGGTCATTTTCAGATAATTTAACATCTAAAAGCATCCAAACAATGATCTACCTGGCCTCAACTATTAGTAACTTTTAATTATTATTTTTTCTTGATCGGATTTTGGTAATGATTATGTTCTTTGCTTAGCTAGTGAAAGTTTTATTTCCAATATAAATATGTGAATTTTGGTGGTATGTGATCCCCACTAAATTATATGTCAACTCTTTTTTCCCTTTTTAAAATAGGAATAATACATAAACAATTTCTTAGTACACGTTAGAACTTACTATATATGCTTAGAGTAATTGTTTAATTGTTTAATTCTACACCATAACTCCACGTTATTGCCACTATACCAAAAAGTCAATCCTCCCAATTTGAACCATCCATTTATTCCAACCTACCCAATAACTTAAAGCTTGAGGCAATCCTCCCAATTCGAAAAGTCTTTTTCTCTGAACATATGACATGTATTTATTGGTTTATTGTAAATAACAAATACAAATACGTTTTCACCTAATCTGAGTTTGTTTGGGGTGTTTTATCTCTCACTATCAAGAGGAACTTTATCACAACGATTCAAGCTCGAAATCTCTAATTAAATACGAAAAATTATATATCTTTTTTTTTTTATAAGGGAAAGATCCTCTTGATGTTATCAAATTCCCAACTTGGCATGCTTTAAAGTATAAAAAAAATATTATGAAGACAGAGTCTTGTTGTTGGGTGAAAAGTCATCCTCATGGAAAAGACAGCTTAAATTCTTTTTTTCCCTATAGTTGTCACTGTAGAAAACTATTGTTGTACCAATATTCTTGTTTGCAAATTACTCTTAGCATTCAACAGGTAAAGTAAAGTTCCTTTAGTAATTGAAACATTTATCTTCTCAAAATCATTTTGTGTTTCCTTGTTTTGCTTGCAGATTTCAGAAATGGAGGTCGGCTTAGCAGTTGGTGGTGCATTTCTCTCTTCAGCTTTGAATGCTCTCTTTGACAGGCTTGCTCCTCATGGTGATCTGATGAAGATGTTTCAGAAGCATAAGGATCATGTTCAGCTCTTACAGAAGCTGCAGGACATTTTTCTTGGTCTTCAGATTGTGCTAAGTGATGCAGAGAATAAGCAAGCATCAAATCGACACGTGAGCCAGTGGTTTAATAAGCTTCAGAGTGCTGTGAACGGCGCTGAAAACTTGATAGAAGAAGTCAATTATGAAGCTTTGAGGCTTAAGGTGGAAGGCCAGCATCAAAATCTTGCAGAAACAAGCAACAAACAAGTAAGTGACCTCAACCTGTGCTTGAGTGATGATTTATTTCGTAACATAAAGGATAAGTTGGAAGAAACCATTGAAACATTGGAGGTGTTGGAAAAGCAAATTGGTCGCCTTGGCTTAAAGGAGAATTTTGTTTCGACTAAACAAGAAACTAGAACACCTTCAACTTCTTTGGTTGATGATTCTGATATCTTTGGAAGGCAGAGTGAAATAGAGGATTTGATTGACCGTTTATTGTCTGAAGATGCAAGTGGAAAAAAGCTCACTGTAGTTCCTATAGTTGGAATGGGCGGCGTGGGTAAGACAACACTTGCTAAAGCCGTTTACAATGATGAGAAGGTGAAGGACCATTTTGGTTTGAAAGCTTGGTTTTGTGTTTCTGAGGCATATGACGCTTTCAGAATAACAAAAGGTTTACTTCAAGAAATTGGCTCATTTGACTTAAAGGATGACAACAATCTTAATCAGCTACAAGTCAAATTGAAGGAAAGATTAAAGGGAAAAAAGTTTCTTATTGTTCTGGATGATGTCTGGAATGACAACTACAACGAGTGGGATGACTTGAGAAATGTTTTTGTACAAGGAGATATAGGAAGTAAGATCATTGTGACGACACGTAAAGAGAGTGTTGCCTTGATGATGGGTAGTGGGGCAATCAACGTGGGGACTCTGTCTGATGAAGTCTCTTGGGAACTATTCAAACGACATTCACTAGAAAACAGGGATCCTGAGGAATATCCAGAACTTAAAGAGATTGGAAAACAATTTGCAGACAAGTGCAAAGGTTTGCCTTTAGCTCTAAAGGCACTTGCTGGTGTTTTACGCGGTAAATCAGAGGTGGATGAGTGGAGAGACATTTTGAGAAGTGAAATATGGGAGCTTCCAAGTTGTTCGAATGGTATATTACCAGCGCTGATGTTGAGCTACAATGATCTTCCTGCACATTTGAAGCAATGTTTTGCTTATTGTGCAATATATCCCAAAGATTATCAATTTCGCAAGGACCAAGTTATTCACTTGTGGATTGCTAATGGTCTTGTACAGCAGTTGCATTCAGGTAACCAATACTTTCTTGAGTTGAGATCAAGATCATTGTTCGAAAGGGTCCCAGAGTCTGAATGGAAACCGGAGGGATTCTTAATGCATGACCTTGTCAATGATTTGGCCCAAATTGCATCTTCAAATCTTTGTATAAGGTTGGAAGAGAACAAAGGATCGCACATGTTGGAACAATGTCGGCACATGTCCTATTCAATAGGAGAAGGTGGTGAGTTTGAGAAATTGAAATCACTCTTTAAATCAGAGCAGCTGAGGACATTACTTGCAATCAATATCCAGCTCTATGATTACAAAATTAAGCTAAGCAAGAGGGTGTTGCATAACATATTGCCAAGACTAACATCCTTAAGGGCATTATCGTTGTCACGCTATGAGATTGTTGAGTTGCCAAATCACTTGTTTATTGAATTAAAGCTCCTGAGATTTTTGGATATTTCTCGGACAAAGATTAAAAGGTTGCCAGATTCCATTTGTGGATTGTATAACTTAGTGACACTTCTCCTGTCATCTTGTGCTGATCTTGAGGAGCTACCGCTGCAGATGGAGATGTTGATCAACTTGCGTCATCTTGACATAAGCAACATTTCTCTCTTGAAGATGCCACTATATCTGAGCAAGTTGAAAAGCCTCCAAGTGTTAGTGGGAGCCAAGTTTCTTTAGGTGGTTCGAGAATGGAAGATTTGGGTGAAGTACATAACTTGTACGGATCTCTATCGGTTGTAGAGTTGCAAAATGTGGTTGATAGTAGGGAAGCTGTGAAGGCAAAGATGAGAGAGAAGATTCATGTTGGCAAGTTATCATTGGAGTGGAGTGAAAGTAGTAGTGTCGACAATTCACAAACTGAAAGAGACATTCTTGATGAGCTACGCCCACATAAAAACATACAAGAAGTCCGAATCACCGGATATAGAGGGGACAAAAATTTCCAAATTGGCTAGCTGATGTTTCGTTTCTTAAGCTAGTAGAATTGTCTCTTATAAACTGCAAGAACTGTTATTCCTTGCCAGCACTAGGACAGCTTCCTTGTTTGAAATTCCTTTCCATTAGAGGGATGTATGGAATAACAGAGGTGACGGAAGAATTCTATGGCAGTTTGTCCTCCAAAAAGCCTTTTAACGCTCTTGAGAAGCTTGTATTTGAAGATATGCCGGAGTGGAAGCAATGGCATGTACTAGGAAATGGAGAGTTCCCTACACTTGAGAAGCTTTTAATTATAAATTGCCATGAACTCAGTTTGGAAACACCCATCCAACTTTCATGTTTAAAAAGGTTTGAAGTTGATGGTTGTCATAAGGTTGGAGATGCTCAAATGTTTAGATCCCAACTTGAGGGAATGAAGCAGATTGTTGAATTAGATATTAGTGATTGTAACTCTATTACCTCCTTTCCTTTTAGCGTTCTTCCCACTACCTTGAAGAGAATAGTTATATCTGGTTGCCAGAAATTGAAATTGGAGCAGCCAGTTG